ATCTAAAGGGTGGGGGAAGTGGTACATGAGGAGGTAGCTGTATGTGGATGAATTGTTTGAGAATGTGATGGTTCAGTGGTTAGGTTGCGGTGGGATAGGCTTCCCTGAAGAGATGAGTCTTAAGGGATCGCCTAAAGGCAGTCAGAGTGGGAGATAGGCGGACAGGTTGGGGTAAAGAGTTCCAGAGGATGGGAGAGACTCTAGAGTAGTCCTGGAGGTAAGCATGGGAGGAGTTGATGAGGGAGCTGGATAGCAGGTGGTATTTGGAAGAGCTCATCAAAAGTCGATTTCAAAATTGAAGGAGCCAGATACAGTTACAATTCTAGTATTCAGGCAACTGCAGGTGTTGAGTGTTTAAATACAATAGCCAGCAGGGGAGATGCCTCCATCCACTCTGTTTAGTGGCAATAGGGAAATCAATTGATTTCTCTCATTCAGCCCGCAGGGCCGAACGAGAGAGATGTGCACGTGTATAGCCAGCTTACAGTAACTCTTTTCCATAAAGGCAATATTTGCTGATCCTGGCGTTCAGCTTTCATTTTAAATATAGCGGAAGAGTCATGTGTATTCTTAATTGAATGTCGGTGGGCTTTGTATGTTCCAGATCTGTGCAGTAATCCAATGTGAATCTTTGCTTTTGTGCATCATAAAGACCAGTCACTGTTGCTGTCTCCTCGTGCAGGATGACTGGTCTTGTCTCCGCCCCCTCCCGTAGTTTTCTGCAATGGGTGGGGCCTGCTGGGTCCTTCCCACAGCTCTGCTCTCTACGCAGGCTATGTACAGCACAGTGATGTCACTGCTACTTTTTCAAAGTAATTGGATTGCAGCTGTATTTAGCGCACACAAAGTAGATGAATAACCTTTTGTGGCTATTGAGGAATATATTGAAATGAAAGTTTTTGTGCCCGGAGTTCAGTCTTCATACTTTTTTTTGGCTAAAGCTCCACTTTATTTTTGGGGGTAACTAGGGCTTCCTGGATGTAGCGCCTGTCTTTTAGATGTGGAGAGTTGCTGAGTATTGAGCCCCAGGCATTCAGTGTTGTACAGGCAGTCCCCGAGTTACATACATCCGACTTGCATACGACTCCTACTTACAAACGGAGGCTGTTACTTTACAGCAGGGGTAGTTGTAATGCTACCGCGCTCGTGCTGACGAGGAGTGCCCGTCTTTTTGGGTCTGGTTTGTAGTACTGTGCGTACATTACAGGAAATTGACTCTTGTAAGACGTGCAGACGAGGGGTGCGCGCCTCTTCTTCCGGGCCACTGTGAGGTTTTTACTGCGGTCTGTATCCTCATTAGAAAGAGTTAATCTCACTTCCTGTTTTTGAGACAACAGTAAGTGAGAGGAAATCTACCCCTATGAAGGGAAATTCACTCCTATAAGAGTGATCATGGGAAAAAGGTTTCTCCACTGAAGCTTCATCACCAATCCTTGTTTCCACGACATCCCAAAATTTTCAAAATCCAATTGTCACATGGACAGAAAGTGAAGTGAAATCTTCTGAACAGGGGCACACACAGCAAAACAAACGTTCGTAACCCGGGGTCTGCCTGTATTGTTATATCAATCCTTCAGCGCTGCAGGGGTTAACAGTAAAACACCCTCGTCCCTTGACAATAGCCCTCTAGTTCCCAGCGTCAGTGTGTGACTTCCTGTCACTGAGATCTTCTAAGCTGATGTTTATAACCTATCCATTTTGGAGCTCACAGCACTATTAGATATTTCCTGTATATTTAAGTTCCACAAGGGAATGTAACATGAGCTTGGTCGTTTCCAAAGCCATGATTACTAAGCAGATATTACTAGGGCAATAAATGTATTATTCAAGCATGTCAAGAGAAAAATGTGCTTCCAATTCTTATGTTCAAGAACTGAAGGTTTTCCCTTCAAGAAACATAGAAACAGAGTAAAGTAACAGAGACATAGTGGATAGGAGGAATATCCACTATGTAAAAATGTTATTTATTAGTAAAAACACGCAGCTCTAAGGCTGTACTTACAACAGTTCGGTAGAATAAAAAACAGTAGAATAAGGTGAGAGGACGGAACCCCTGGCACGTAGAATCTGGAGCGATGTAAAACACCAGTAACCTCGATCCCTGTATTGATAAATGGTTTACGCGTTTCTGGGGCACGCCCCCTTCATCAGAACCAATGAAGGGGCGTGCCCCAGAAACGCGTAAACCATTTATCAATACAGGGATCGAGGTTACTGGTGTTTTACATCGCTCCAGATACTCCCTGCCAGGGGGTCCATCCTTATTCTACTGGTTTTTATTCTACCGAACTGTTCTAAGTACAGCCTTAGAGCTGTGTGTTTTTACTATTAACCTCTTGCCGTCCGCCCGTAGTAAAAAAACGGACGGACGGCACTGCTACATCTGCGGGTTGCCTAGTGGGCACGCACGGGCAGAAAAGACCCGTCCAATGCGAACACCCGGTACCGGGTGTTTCACATATAGGCGATCAGCGGGTCCATAGCCCGCCGATCGCCTATATGTGCTCGTTCGCGGCACCCCCCCCCCCGCGCCCGGTCGGCGCTTCCGGTTTTTTTTTTTTTTTTTTTTTTCCCCCTGACCCCTCACCTTGATTCCCGGGATCCGCTGCCCCATCTTGGATCCCGGGACCGGCTCCGAGGGCGTCAGGAGGAGGAGGACGGGAGATCAGCTCCTTGCTGATCCCCGTCCGGGCTGTGAATGCAGAAGTGATGTGTGTTACATCACTTCCGCATTCACCTGTCAGTCATCTGGAGAGAGAAGAAGCTGATAAAGCAGATCTCTGCTTTATCAGCTTCTTTTGGGGTCCATAGGTGATATTAGGGGTCCTAGAGACCCCTAATATCTCCATAAAGAGGACCTGTCAGTGTGCCTTTGCTATTATATAGGGGGTTGTTATCCCCCTATATAATAGCAATAACAATAAGTGCAAAAAAAAAAATATAAATAAAAAAAAAGAAAAGTAACACATAAAAAAATAAAATAAAATAAAAGCCACATATAAAAAAAGGGGAAAAAACCCCCCCAAAATGTTTAACTCCCCCACCCCCACGTTTACGCGCCTATAAACGTAAATACGCGTCCGGTGCCCCAGCGCGCAAAAATTACAATTGCGCTACACATGTTACATATCGCCGCGAACGTCGCAGTGAGAGCAATCATTTTAGGGCCATCAATCACTGATAACACTAAACTGATGAGCGGTAACAGCTTTTAAAGCGTCGCCTAGGGCCAATTTTGGGTATTATCGTTTTTTGAGGTTTTGCGCGCGCACGCAATTTTAAGGCTTGACATGTTTAGTGTCTTTTTACCCGACGTGACCCCATCTTTTATATTTTACCAAAAAATTGGGTAATAATAAATGTTTTATCATTTAATATAGGGGAAACTGTTTTTTTGTTTTTTTAAATTTTGGTAATTTTTCCTTAATATAGTAAAAAAATAAAACCCCCAGTGGTGAATAAATACCACCAAAAGAAAGCTCTATCTGTCCCCAAAAAAGGGTATAAAATTAATTTCAGTACAGCGCTGCATGACGGAATAAATGTCAGTTAAAGTACCGCAGCGCTGAATACTGAAAAATGGCCTGGATGGGAAGGGGGTTTAACACCGCGGATGTCAACTGGTTAAATAACATTTTTACACTATGGAGGCGCTCTCTTTTGTTCCTTTTCTCATAGACTGGTGGTCCATCTAATCAGTGGGAGCTGCCTCCATTGTGTTTCCTGTATTTTTACTGCTGGGCTCTTTTTGGATTTGAAGGCGCCGGTATTGGTTTGGAATATCCACTATATTGCAAGTTGCAATATGCACCTCTGAAATAGTACTAAAGCCTCAGTGTTTATATTAGAAATGCATCCCTCCCAGCCTCATAATCACAGTACTATGAATCAGGGGAGTAACTAGAAATCACAGGGCCCCATAGCAAAATTTTGTATGTGGCTCTGTGATTTCTAGATACACCCCTGGCAGAGCCCACATGTCCAGCCTCCTCCTCCGCCGCTGCTGGCTGTCACTGACTCAGCAGCGGGTGTGGAGAGGAACGCGCCGCTGCACAGATCACTGACAGTGATCTGAACAGCGGAGCGTTCCTCTTCACAGCCGCCAGTGACAGCCAGCAGCATGAGATGCCATAGTGACCCAGGCGGCCTGCACGGCATCAGGGGATGTCCTGGCCATGCCCCTAGCCCCATAGCGGCCGCCTGGGTCGCATAGGTCGATTGTTACGCCACTGCTATCAATTGTTATGTACAATAATGCCACGAGCACTCACTTTTTATTCCAGTCCTCTGTTCACAGCCTCCCCAAACTTCCTGTTGCTGAGCGTGCACTCTGCATGTGAACAGCTTAGCCTTAGCCTCCGTTCTGATTAGCCTTCTCAGGCCAAAAAATGGTTTTGACGGTATATTTGCCAGGCCAAAAGGGACCAAATAGGAGAAGTGCATTGTTGGTGTTTACATACACCATAATGATACATCACATTGTGTAGGAAATATCTGTCCATATTGCCCCGGGTAAAGATAAAGAGAGTCCGTGTTTGGAATATATGTATAAATCATGGATTTATAGAATATAGTATGTTGATCTTTTTTTTCTTCCAGCACAAACTTTATTAGACAGGAAAAAAAGAAAAAAACATTTCAGATCGATAACAATATTGAGGTCTGTTGCTGGTACAGCCCATTCTTATTGACCAAGCACTAAATGCCGTCTATTTTTACCTTGCCTTGAAAATTGAGCAGCTCGTGTTTTTCCCAGGGGCAGAACCGATCATTGTGAAAGTATCAGTGTGTCACTTGGATTCCTGAGGGGGTGGGTACCCATCTACTTCTGGGAAAGATATTTTGCTGATTGTTTTTTTTCTCATGTGAGATACTTAATCTTGTCTATCTCTTGTCATCAGAGATGTCCTTACCTGTCCTCTGCCGATATAAATAGATGTTAGAGATATGCTTTGGGATTCTGCTTGTTAGTGTAACCTGTTCTGTTTTCTTGTTACCAGGTGAGCCATGATTCCAGTGACCGAGCTGCGGTACTTTGCTGACACACAGCCGGCTTACCGAATCCTGAAGCCATGGTGGGATGTGTTCACAGACTACATTTCCATTGTCATGCTTATGATAGCAGTGTTTGGAGGCACCTTGCAGGTCACCCAGGATAAGATGATCTGCCTTCCCTGCAAATGGGTGACGCATGACAGCTGTAATGATTCTTACCGGGCCTGGGCACCTGCAGGACCTGAATATTCTAACTCTAGCCTTGTGCCTCCAGAAACGCTAGGCCCCACAGGCATAAAATATGACTTGGATAGACATCAGTACAACTACGTGGATGCCGTGTGCTATGAAAACCGTCTACACTGGTTTGCAAAGTACTTTCCTTACCTCGTGTTGTTGCACACTTTGATCTTTCTGGTGTGTAGCAATTTCTGGTTCAAGTTTCCTCGTACCAGCTCCAAGCTCGAGCATTTTGTCTCCATCCTGCTAAAATGTTTTGACTCGCCTTGGACTACTCGGGCCTTGTCCGAGACTGTGGTGGAAGAGAGCGATTCCAAACCCACAGGAGGAAAGATGAATGGTTCAGTGGACAAGAAGTCTTCTATAGCCAGTGAAGATGTAGAAGCAACTGTGCCCATGTTGCAGAGGAGCAAGTCCAGGGTGGAGCAGGGAATTGTGGATAGGTCAGAGACAGGAGTGCTTGATAAGAAGGAGGGTGAGCAGGCCAAAGCCTTGTTTGAGAAGGTGAAAAAGTTCAGGACTCACGTGGAAGAAGGAGATATAGTCTACAGGCTGTATATGCGACAGACAATCATCAAAGTTATCAAGTTTATTCTGATTATCTGCTACACTGTTTATTATGTGAGCAGCATCACCTTTGACGTGGATTGTAAGGTGGACATTGAGAGCCTCACTGGTTATCGCATGTACCGATGTGCCCATCCACTTGCTACCTTATTTAAAATCTTGGCCTCCTTCTACATTAGCCTGGTAGGATTTTATGGTCTGGTCTGTGTGTACACCCTCTGGTGGATGCTGAGACGATCCTTGAAAAAATATTCCTTTGAATCCATTCGTGAAGAGAGCAGCTATAGTGACATCCCAGATGTCAAGAATGACTTTGCCTTCATGTTGCACCTCATAGATCAATACGACCCACTTTACTCTAAGCGTTTTGCTGTTTTTTTGTCTGAAGTCAGTGAGAACAAATTGAGGCAGCTTAATCTCAACCACGAGTGGACACTGGACAAACTCCGCCAACGCATCACCAAAAATTCTCAGGAGAAACTCGAGCTCCATCTTTTCATGCTTAGCGGGATACCTGACACTGTGTTTGACCTTGTGGAGCTGGAAGTGCTCAAGCTGGAACTTATACCTGATGTGACCATCCCACCTAGTATCGCCCAACTCACAGGCTTAAAAGAGCTTTGGTTATACCACACAGCAGCTAAAATTGAGTCTCCAGCCTTAGCCTTTCTCAGAGAGAATCTGAAATCTCTACACATTAAATTTACAGATATTAAGGAGATTCCTTTATGGATCTATAGTTTGAAAAACCTCGAGGAGTTGCACCTCACTGGGAACTTGAGCGCGGAAAACAATAGGTACATAGTCATTGATGGTCTCCGTGAGCTTAAGAGGCTGAAAGTATTGAGACTGAAGAGTAACCTTACTAAACTGCCTCAGGTGGTGACTGATGTTGGTATCCATCTGCAGAAGCTTTCTGTAAACAACGAGGGCACAAAACTGATGGTCCTCAACAGTCTTAAGAAAATGGTGAACCTAACTGAGCTGGAACTGATGCGCTGCGACTTGGAAAGGATCCCACACTGCATTTTTAGCCTTCACAACCTTCAGGAGATCGATTTAAAAGACAACAATCTGAAAACCATTGAGGAGATCATCAGCTTCCAGCACCTTCATAGACTCACCTGCTTGAAGCTCTGGTATAACCATATTGCCTATATACCCATTCAGATTGGCAATCTGGCAAGTCTTGAGCGCCTGTATCTTAACCGCAACAAGATTGATAAAATACCAACACAACTGTGCTATTGTCGAAAGTTGCGACATCTAGATCTAAGCCACAACACACTAACTAGCATCCCGGCTGAGATTGGGCAGCTCCAGAACTTGCAGTATTTTGCTGTAACTGCCAACCATGTGAGTATTTCTCTTTGTTCTGTCTATAGTTGTTTTAGGTTGTGTGTGTGTGTATGTATGTGTGTGTGTGCGTATGTGTGTATATATATATATATATATATATATATA